CCCAAAAGCTTGCCAAGAATTTTTTTTTCCCAACTATTTAAGTTAGTTTAATAAAAAAAATATCAGATTCATCCATAGAACCTTGTCTGCCTATGTCCTTAGACCAACACGGCTACAACCTACACCCCATATGCATTATATATGCACTTAATATAACTTGCTGAATAAAACTGTAATTATCTTAAATAGTCACAAAACTGTTCAAATAGTGCTGTGGTTCTAGGTAGATATTTTTAAAAACACTTAAATATTGTAACTTTAACAAGAATTAATTTTACCACTATAGAATAATAAATTTCTACCTTTACACTGCATTCCTTGGCGAAAAAGGCCCTTGAGCAGGCGTTTGCAGTACTGGCATATGGTGGGACGAGTGTAAGAATGAACAGCAAAGGTATGCGGAACTTTCACTCTGCAAAGCACCATCTTTTCCATCCATATTGGACGGCCACTCCAAGAAGGAATCCTTTTACTGGGTTCTGGGCAGCAGCGCTGAAATAAGAGGCGCATAAGATTCCATAAGAACATGCCACATTTAAATGTGATTTTTCAACAAAGTTTGCTTCAGAAACTGAACATGCAAATCTTCTTTAAATATTTTGCCTAGACAGCCTTACAAAACCATTGATAGCATAAAGCAGGCACGAGATTGAGAAGCAGGGATCCAGATTTTCTGTTCCCCATTGGACAGGGCAGGGAAGCTCACTGCCGTGAATGCACATCACCCTGTTGAAGCACCCCCTGCCTGCCTGGCAGCAGCAAGGGGCACAACTCTGTGCTGTTGCCCCCACTGCTGCCCAGTAGGCAAGGGGCTCCTCATCAAGGCAGTGCAGTTTGCAGCAGCAAGACAAGCTTCCCCACCCCACACTGCCCTGCTGCGCCAGGTCCCACACGCTGGGCCACTGAAGCCCCAGGGGTAGGGCAGCAGGGTGGGGAAGCCCACATCCATCCCCCTGCAACAGTCTCCACTCCAGCCATGCTGCACATGAGAGAGGGGGAGCTGGGCTCCATGCTCTGCAGCACAGGTGGCAACTGAGGCTCAGGCCACTATATATAGTGGAATTTCATTTTAAATCACAGAAAAAAAAAAACACAGATTTTGGGGGGTTTCAGAACATTTCCTATTTTTATCAGGGAAGTTGTGATTTTTAAACAAAGAAAACCAGGATCCCAGCTGAAGTCTTGCAGACTGCAAAAACAAGCATATTCAGTTCCTGTTGAAATGAAGAACCAAATGCATACAATTTGTTCATTCAACATTGTGAAATTCACAAATAGGACAGGTCTACAATGAACACTGATCTTGCATGTAGATGCCTTTTAGAATGGAAAGTACTAGCGGCAATCAACCTAAGTCGACAGCCATCACACCACACTATTAGCTTTAGACATCAAAGCAGAAAATACTGTATATGCCTGGACTAAAAGAATAAAACAAATAAAGATAAATTTATAGTTTTGGAAGCTATAACAAAAGATTCAGTGTCTTACCACCGACCCAGCTGTATCATTTAAGAAAATAAAATACCAAAAACTTGGGTTTGGCAGGGGAGGGTTGGGAAGGGGGCGGGGGGAGAAGTGGGGGTAGAAAGCACAAGAGAAATACTGGCGTGTGAAGGAATGAGGGAGGACCTACTGACAGAGAGATTACAAATCCCGTAACAGTTGCTATCAGTAAAACCTTCTTAGAATCTAAGATGCACTAAATAGATACACTGAATATGAATGTAAAAAATAAATGTAACTATGATAGAGGGTGGAAAAATACTGACCATTGCATCTTCATTCAAACAAACATCTGCCAAGTTTTTCAATGATTTATAGTGGTCTTCACTGATCTAAGGCTGGACCTTCCTGTCACTGGCCAAAAAACCTGTTCTTAAACTGAACTTTCTATACAATTTATTATTTAAGTTTGTTTGGGTAAGAAAATGCATCTCCATCTATGTACAACACCAAACTCAATAATGAAAATAACATCCAACATTAAGACCAGAAAACTATTTTGCTTAAAATACTTTGGATCAGATCCTCAGCTAACAAAGTAAAGTCTCTCCACTGAAGTTTAATCTTCTCGGAATGGAGCCCAATCACTCACTCAGGGAAGAAACAGCTTTACCAAACAGTTCTGGAAGGGCTGAGATGCCTCTGTGGGTTTCAAATTGTTAATATAGAAGAAAACCCATATATTCTAGAATTATATGATAAAAAAGAAATAGGACAAAAACTTAAGGGGCTAAGCCCTGGTTGATTATAACTGAAACTTTACACCTGCAACAGAAAGATATCATTCTTTATACAGTTATATAAAGGGAAACCAACTCAACAGTAAATTAATATTTAGATCATTAGAAATTAGCCCAATATCGGTTAAACTGTGCTTATCTGTCACTGATGATTTTACTGATTTAATAAAATAATTTGTCCTTTAATGTTTTTAGGCATGTTAGGAATGCAATACCAGAGTTTCACTTCTCATTTTCCCTTAAGGAGGACGATGACTGTGGACAACTACAAAAATGCTCTATTCTACTGATTTTACTCTCTACAAGAGTTTGAAGTGAGAGGAAGGAGGGAGCATTTTGGTTATTTTTGTTTTTTGTATTGTTTTGGGTTTATTGCTGAATAATTCTCTCTGGAAGGTTTAACAGGCTATCAGTAACATTTCTCTCAGAAACGTACAATTTGTACCATGTTATATAGTGATACAGTAATTACAGACTAAATCTGTATCACAGAGAAAGCACTGTATTTTATCTTCTAACCCAAGGTTTTTAAAAAGAGTAAATAGCTCTGTGAATGACAGACTAATGGTAAAATTATACATAAAAGTTGAAATCCACTTTCAGTTTCGTTTTTCACAATGCCAGTAATAATACAGAATTATCCTCAGAGTATAAAAGACTCAGCAACTTGAAAACGAAAAAGTACTGATTGAAATGGTTAATCTGAACTAGTTTTTCTCATTCTAAGTCAATTTAAAGTTGTTTCTAGTTCCCAGAAATTTGATGAATTTAACTCAGTATTATTTTATTCTAAGTTTACTTTGTTTTCATTTTCTATTACATACCTCTTCAGTAGCAGAGGCTGTATATTCAGTTTGCGCTGGTCTTGGAACGGAAAGCCCAGTGCTTGGTAAAGAAACATTAGACAAACGCCTCTTTCTCACTCCACTACAGTTGTTTGGGATCTTGAAGGCACATCGTTTATGGTAGTTTAATCCACAGCCTGAAAGTGTCAGTTTGAAAAACGATGAAAGAGAAGCCTCTCTTTAGGTAAAATAATTAAGAAAAAAAGTTAAGAGTCCAGTATTTATTATTTATAAAGCAGTTACAAGAGAAGGAAAATAATCCAAGAATATTAAAAAGACAGAAACACAACATCTTGTTTAGATTTCTTATAACACAATAGGGAGCACACTGTATTTCTTCTTAATATAATTTACAGCAGAATCTTGTTTTGCAATAAAAAACATACACCATCTGTCTGAATACTAATTTCCAATGTTCCTGCCTGACATTCGTAAATACCTAAAAAAACAGGGTCTTTAAGACTTTATACGGTTGTTGATCTTCCTCACTTTTCTTCCTGCTGGGAGGTTCTCTTGGCTCTGCTGGGGCCACAGGAGTAAAGAGGAAGTCAACTGACAGGAAATGCTGGGTTTCTAGTACCTGGACACCAGCCTGCTGAAAGTAGGCTGCAGTATTTTCCACAATCCAGCTGGACAAAGACAGTATGGAAAGGGACTCCCATTTGGGATGCTCTGTAAATTAAGACAAGCTGAAGCAAGGATCTTAAACTTAATTTACAACACCCCTGTACATCAAATGTTAAAAGCTATGATTGTTTTTCATCAGGTGGGAAAGGCACAGAAAAATTAAGTGATATGCCCAAGGTCACACACAGTCTGCATCAGAGCCAAGAGAGAGCTCACATTTCCTGACAAAGTCTATTGCGTCTTGCTTCAAGTACTAGACTGTGCTATTTTACAGAAGCTAAACTCATATTAGGCCAACAAATTAAATGTATAAAACACAATATTCAATATCTCCCACCACATCCAAAAGTTTGCTTTTCCTATAACTTGCTGCTAAGGCAGAAGCTAGGATCACATACTTCACATGTTAACAAGAGTTAACATTTAACTTACCTTCACATTTTAATCCTTGTCGTACCAAGCCCCAAAGCATTTCTCCACAATAGTCACAAAAAGTAGGGGCCTTGTAGGAATGCACATAAAGCGCATGAGGACGAATCTGGAAATCTTCAACTGTAGCTAAAGCTTTAAAAAAATTGCAATAAGTCATTTTTATTGCAAGATTAATGAAGATTTACTAGAGATAGTACTGTGTTTTAGAAAAAACAGCAGTTTCAAGAGGACACCACTGAGCTGTTTAGATACCAAAATTACATCCCCAAATCCCATAGAGCATATTTGGAAGATTACATGTTCAGATGCACACAGTTTTTAGCCATTTTTTTTAATTAAAAAAAAGTCTGTTGGAATTTCTAAGACAGTAAAACCTTGAGGAATAAACATTACCAGCTACTACATAATATTTAATGCTGATAAAGGGTATGGTTACTATAGAATTCTTAATATTAACCTGTTTTTTTTCCCTGGAGTTTCAAAATATGAATGAAGGGGGGGAAAAAAAAAAAAAAAAA